GCCCTTCCAGAACTTCCAGAGCACCATGAACTGCTGATGTGAAGGGTTCAGAAAGGAGAGGGAAGAGGTGGGAAAGAGGCAGGGCAAAGGTAGGGTGGAATCTGGCAGAGGCAGGGCTTGGGGGAAGTGATGAATTTGGGGCAGGGCCTGGAATGGGGGTGTGGATCAAGCAGCAGTCAGCTAGAGAGAAAGTTGTCACCTATGCCATAGATGCACATTTAACTTGCTCTTTCTCTTTTAAGAACAGTAACAGAGAGGTAGCCATGTTAGTCTGATCTTGGTAAAACAAAAAAACCCAGTCAGTTAGTACTTTAAAGACTAACAAGATAGGGTATTAGGTGATGAGCTTTCATGGGGCAGATCTGAAGAAGAGGGTCTGCCCCACGAAAGCTCATCACCTAATAAACTATCTTGTTAGTCTTTAAAGTGCTACACAACTGCTTTTTTTCTTTTAAGAACGTCAGCTTTGTTTCCCCACTCCACATCTTGCCACTTGAATACAGTGTAGATGTCAAATTTGTCAGCTTCATGTTGTTAAACATTTGGTGATAGATCTACTGGCATAAATCCAGTTGGCTATATTGACTTCTGTGCTGCCTGGATTTATGCCACCTGAGTATCTGGTCTTGCATATTTTCTATTAATATATTTATTTAGACAAGTGTATATACACACATCAAATCAGCATGTATCCATATGCTCTTGACACCGTGAATATAATTTAAAAGTACCAGAAAAATAAACACCCAAACATAATAAATGCAGCAGTGTAATTGAATATAATCTGCTCCCTGCAAACCAAGAGACCCAAAAGACCGAATTACACCCCCAGACTCCTTTTCAAATGTCTGAGGGGAAAAAGCTTTGCAGAGTGCCGTGGAAGTCCCTGAATTCAGTCTAGTTCTGACCAAGGAGGGAGGAATCATAGAGCACTAGAACTGGAAGGGACCTCAAGAGGTCATCGAGTGTAGTCCTCTGTCCTCACGACTGGACCCAATACTGTCTAGACCATCCCTGATAGATGTCTATCTAACCTGCTCTTAAATATCTCCAGTGATGGAGATTCTACAACCTCCCTAGGCAATTTATTCCAGTGTTTAACCATCCTCACAGCTAGGAAGTTTTTCCTGATGTCCAACCTAAACCTCCCTTGCTGCAATTTAAGCCCGTTGCTTCTTGTCCTATCATCAGACGCCAAGTAGAACATTTTTTCTCCCTCCTCCTTGTAACACCCTTTTAGGTACATGAAAACTGCTATCATGTCCCCTCTTAGTCTTCTACTCTTTTCTAAACAAGCCCAGTTCTTTCAGTCTTCCCTCACAGGTCATATTTTCTAGACATTTAATCATTTTTGTTGCTCTTCTCTGGAATTTCTCCAATTTCTCCACATACTTCTTGAAATGCGGTGCCCAGAACTGGACACAATACTCCAATTGAGGCCTAATCAGCGCAGAGTAGAGCAGAAGAATGATTTCTCATGTTTTGCTCACAACACTCTTGTTAATGCATCCCAGAATCATGTTTGCTTTTTTTGCAAGTGTCACATTGTTGACTCATATTTAGCTTATGGTTTACTATGACCCATAAATCTCTTTCTGCTATACAGGCAGTCCCCGAGTTACGCGGATCCGACTTATGTTACGCGGATCCGCCACCTTGACCTCCGGAGCGAGAAAAGCTGCACCGGGTGCCCCTGGTCTGCTGGGGACCGTCTCCAGCAGACCAGGGACACCTGGAGCAAAGCCGGGGAGGCGGAGGGGTCTCGCGCCTCTGAGGCTTTGCTCTAGCAAAGCCTCAGAGGCGCGGGACCCCCCCGCCTCCCCGGCTTTGCTCCAGGTGTCCGTAGTCTGCTGGAGACAGTCCCCAGCAGACCAAGGGCACCCAGAGCAGCTTTTCTCGCCCTGGAGGTCGAGGTGGTGGGACCGCTGCGCTCTGGGCGGTCCCCCTGCCTGCGAGCTCCGGGGCAAGAAAGCCCCATTCGTAAATGCGGATCCGCCAGACGTCGGATTCGCATAACT